TTATTATTCTTAATTAATTTTCTTATTATTAACTCCTTCTATTAATTCATACTCCCTAATTTCTAGAGAAAGATGAAGAAATTATGATGAATTTGATCTAATTATTCAAGTATCATTTTTTTTTTTTTGGTATTAACAATTACCCAAGTATCATGAATGAAATGATAATGTAACTAAAAATATTAAAAGATGTGATGTTAGGACATAAACATAATAACTTAGTGAAAGATGTTCTTGAAGAGCAATTTCATCATTAAAAAAATGACTTAAACTACTTGATAATGTTTCAAGATGATTATAAAATTAAAACTTTATTTTCCAAGAGATTTAAATATTTTGTGTTTATATTGTTATTGTTAATCAACTTATTATTATTTATAACTTTATGATTTTTTTCTTAATTTAATTGTTTGTGGTTGAGACTATAAAGTACTTAGTTTTAATGAATCACAATACTTTAATTAAATTTAGATACATATAATTTTATTTGTATATAATAAAATTAATAAAAAATAATTATAAATAATGAAAATAAAGTCAACCGGCGGGTTAACTCGTAACCCGTTAGGGTTAGATTTTTTCAACCCGCAACCCGTTTATAACCCAACCTGTATAACCCATCACCCAAGTTGAACCAACCCGAACCCGACCCAACCCGCCCGTTTGCCAAGTCTATTTAGCCTTACCTCCTTAAAATTAGGAAGAAAATCATTTCAAAACTACTTCGTTTTAATAAATCTCCATTAAAAAAGATTAAAATACCTTTTTTTTAAAGAATGAATTGAAATGTTTTTTATCTTTTTCTCTAGTACTTTATTAAAATTACGTAATTTTGAAATAATATTTCTTTTAATATTTAATAGGTAAGGCGAATAAATACTAATTCCATATATAAATTGTTCCTAAATTGATAATTTAAAAATTAAAAAATTATAATTATTTTTAAACAATGAGAGTAACTTATTTATAACACTTACTTTTATGTTAAATATGAGAAAAGTATTTTTTGTACGTAAGCACCATAATTGAAAAATTAAGGGAAGGGTCCATATATCATCACTAACATGGATAAAATTTACATATAAATATTATTTTGATGAAAAATTAGTGTCATATAATATTGTCACACGTTTAATTTTAAGTTACTTATTTAATTTAAAAAGATTGTGAGGGAAATTTGTTTCTTTTTATTATACATTTTGTCTCTTCTTTTATTAAATAGATTTTATCTCTATCGAACAAACTCAAGTAGTGGATTTGAACATTTGGCTTATGGGTTAGCAATATTCATATTTGTTGATGTAATAACACATCATTATATATGGTCTTTACTTATATGACTAACTAGAAAATTAATTTATTATAATTTATTAATTATTTTAATTGTATAAAGTAAAAGCGACACTGATATGGTATTGATGGATAAAAATATCACTTATTACACAGAATTCCATACTCCATTATATGAAAGAATTTATCTTTTTTTTTTTTTGAGTTTCAAATTAAAAAAGAAAATTATTATATAATTTGAATTGTATCAAATTATATAATATTAACTATTTAATGAGTGTAAATCCCTAATATTGAGGTTTTTTATTATTTAATAATTCTTATTTTATAATACACTGTAATTTAAATTATAAAACAAAATTTTAAAGAGTTTGTCTAACTTGTAGACTTATTAATTAAGATATTTTTAATTAATTTTATATAAATTTTTATGTAAGATTTATAATTTTTTGTAAATTTTAAGTATAAATATTATATTATATTATATTTTTACATTTTATATTATATTTTATTTAAATCTTACACAAAATTTTTATATAAAATTAATTATAAATATTATAATTAATAATATTTATCTTTTACCTTTAAAACATGATAAAAAAATCTAAATTTTAAAAAAGGGTTAATGCCATCTATCGTCCCTCTACTATTAAAAATAGTACAATTTAAACCTTCTACTATCAATTGGCTTCATGTCCTCCTTTTACTATTAATTAACTTCACCTGTTGTCCCTCTACTATCCAAAAGCATGCCAATGTCATCCCTCCATCCAATGTAAACTAATAGTACTGTTTATTGACTATTAAATGCAAACAGTCACACCGATTAAGTGCAATTTAAACTAATAATTTTTTTATTTTTTTAATTTAAATTATATTACACTATAAAATAAAAATTATTATCTTAAAAAAACCTTAATATCAAAAACACCTATTTTCATTCAAATATTAAATTTATATAATTAAAAAATAATTTAAATTACATAACACCTTTTAAAACACTTACTTCAAAATTATAAATATTGTAAAAAAAAAAAGACAAATAAATAAACTCACCCTCTCTTTTAAACACCATAAAAGAAAATAATAAATAAACAAATAGGTAAACCCAGCCTCTCTCAACTACCTTAACCAACATATATAGTAACTAATTGAACTCCCAAAAATGAAATATCCGAACTTTTGCAAATTTTCCGCTTTTGCAGCTTCGCCATAGCCTTCGCTTCAAGCACTAAAATTCAAGAGAACTTGTTCATCTGGTTTCTTGACTTCTACACCTTTGGTTGTTGCGGTTGTTGAAATCCACCTGAAAAATTTCTCGATTGATCTCCACCACCATCAATGTGGCTGCCTTGGGATAGTAGTAAATCAATACTGCGGATTCACAATACCTCGGCGTCGCCATTGCCATTCTCCTTCAAAGACATCCAGAATCTCTGCAGTGAAGAACTTAACGAAAGCTCTTCCTCCGGCGTCGTCTTCCATCGTGTCTGCATCGACAACTCTTGGCCGCGAAAATTTGATGCGACTGCCGCCAAACAACTGCACTTGCCTGTCGATGGAGCTGTAGAGGCGCCAAGACAGGACCTCCTTGAGAGGAAACGACAAAAGCGAAAATAGGATGAAGAAATTAAAGAGGAGCCAGAGATTTCCCTTCCGTCGTCCGACGACACCTCGCACGCTCTCCTCTGCGAGGTAACTGCTCAGATTAATGCCCTCAATTCCACCTTCTTCTCTTGGCGTCAAGCCGATCGCGCTGCTGCTAAGCACGCTACTCACGTCCTTGCCGAACTCGCCAAGAACAATATCGAACTACTTCAGATCTCATGTTATTCGTGCTGATGTCGCTGATTTCATTTACCAAGCATATCTGTTGAAGGTGACTTCTGTTTTGGCTCTGGTGAAGCATCTGCATGTGCCATCATCCAGTGAAGGCGATCCGAGCCCGAAGCCCTTCGAGCATGAGGTAGAGAAAGGAAGTGCTATCGCTCTTGGACTTTTTGCCATAAAGGTGGTTGGAATTAGGGGTGGCAAAAAAAAAGCCTAGCTGGTGCGGCCGTTTGCACTTAACGGTTAATGAACAGTTCCGTTAGTTTACATTGGACGGGGGAACGATATTGGCATGTTTTTTGATAGTGGAAAGACGATAAGTGAAGTTAATTAATAACAGAGGAAGGACATGAAGCCGATTGATTGTAGAAGATTTAGGGCATGTTTGGTAGTATTTTTTGGAGTTTTTATTTATTTTTTAATTTTTATGAATAATAAATTTAAATTTTTATTAAAAAAATTTAAAAATTATTATTAAAGATAGAAAAAAATGAATAAAACGTGAGTAAAAAAAGTTTATAAAAAATTTAGATTTAAAATTTTTTAATTTTTATTATTTGAGATCTTTTTAAAATTAAAAAAATTTTTAAATATAAATTTTTAAAATAAAATTTAAAATTTATAAAATATAAATAAAATCAAAAAACTAAAACTCTAAAAAAACAAAACTAAACATACCCTTAAATTGCACTATTTTTTATACAAGGGGAATGATGGATGACGTTAACCGTCCAAAAAAATAAAACAAGAGCAAAAGCTAAGAAGTGCATAAGTGCATTGAACTTGGAAGTCGGTTGGCCGTTTGAACGTTTAAATATATTGCAACGTGTCAGCAAGAGAGGGGCAAGTGTTGGAGAGAGTGCTTATGGGCGAGTGCCCTTAGCATTGCCCCGGGTCAATTTCCGAGTTTGGTGTTAATATGGTGAAGTTGACCTCATTGTAGTTTTTTTCCCTTCCTTTAAGTTTTATTCAAAAATGTATATTTAGAGTACAAAAGATATTTTTTATAATAAATTTATATAAAAAATATAAAATTTAATATTAATTTTAATGATATTATTATATAAATAAATATAATTAAATATTTAATAAATTCAGTATTACTTTTTATTTTAAAAAAATTTTTAAAAATACAAATTAAAAAAACCTTTTTTACCATAAAAAACAAAGATTGGGATTGGTCAATTTGGCATGTTAGTTGACGTTGTCCACCATATTTTTCCTTTTATTTTAATGGGCCCTTCTACGACGGGTCAATTACTCAATTTTGTTTATTGGTACGAGAGAAAAAAAAATTAACACTTTTTTTGTATAAAAAATATTAAAGATTTTAATTATAATTACTAAATATATAAAATATTGTAAGTTTTATTTTTATTAAATTTATCATAAAATTATTATTATACATGTAGGTCTTCATTTTCTTTTTCACGCCTTCTTTTATGAGTAAAGGTGAAAAAAATATGTCAATTTTATAA